GTTATAGGAGTTGTAACTTCTCCCATTTCATCTCACTTTCTCTTTGACTTGTTTAAGTAATTTACTTTGCATATTTTATTTATTTTGCATCTCTTGCATCTTGCATATCATGTTTGCGTCTTCTATTGACTTTTTTAAGTCATCTTCATCTCTTTCTTTCATCTCACTTGTGATTGATTTTATCTTGTGTTTACTTGGTTTTCTTTGCCATGATCCCTTAGGATTCCTAGTCCCATTTGTTTAAGGTGGGAGTAGGAGAGACATTAAGTGTTAAATCCAAGCATGATAACATTAGGGTAGACCTTTCCCCTTTTAATCTAAATCTTAGGAGCACATTGCATGATAACATTAGGCTTGAGTTTGTTTCCCCTTAGTTGTGTCTTCTCTCTTCTCATCTCAAAACTTCTTCAAAACATGTAATAAAGGATAATGAGTGTTGTACGCTACGAGCCTTAAGCATTTGGGAAATTATGATTGGGAGGCCTCATCTCAATTGTCTAGAGTGTTTAGTGTATGCCCTTTAGTGCAACATGAATTACAAAAACAATTCAATTCACTTCTTCTTCATAAAAGACTCAAAAACAAATATCAAACCTTTTTTTTATCCTTCGGGATTGTTTCGAAAATAATTTTCATAAAAAGAGTGTTGTTAACTCTTGGTTCTACCGCAAACAGGTAACGCCTAAGTCTCCAATGGTCGAGCAGCAATACACCTAACTGCTAGAACTAAGGTTTAATCCTACTCGGGTAAAACACTTAAACCAATCTATAGTCGTGTCAGCCCGAACTACGTTTGCTCTGATTTCTCGTACTAGACGAGGATACGTAGGTACAAGACGACGATGTCTTGGCGAGCAACCTTCCCCACCTTTCACCCGTAGTTTTCTAAAGTACGTTGACTCTGACTTTCCCATTGCACGAGGGAGTACGTAGGCATAGAGCGGAGATGCTCTATCGAGTCTCTTTTCTTTTCTTTCGTCCCTATGGCTATCCCTATAGTTTAACACCCCTTAGATAGATAATAAGCGTGGATCCTGTTGAGTACAACGGGCATGAGGGGTGCTCATACCTTCCCCTTGCATAGCCGACTCCCGAACCCGAGATTTGGTTGCGATGACCTTGTCTTTTCCCTTTTTCGTAGGTTTTCTCTGATTGTTTCCTTTCCCTCTCTTTGGGATAAATAATGAACGGTGGCGACTCTTGTGTCTTCTTCCGGCTCCTTTTTCGCAATAGCGACAACCCCCCAAACACCACATAACACATATTATCATCAAAGAAATGATTAAAAACATATTAAATAATTTAAATAGTTAAATAAAGCAACAAAATTCAATTAAATAAGTTAATTGAATATGAGGTGTTATAGGAAACAAGGCTTGTGAGCTATTACAGTCCGTAATAGCTATTACGTGTGGTTGTAATAGGCCTTTAATTTTTTGTACTGGGTGGTTGGATTATCGTGATTAACTTAAATTTTCACACCGATTCTGTTTTGGGATATTTCCAAGATTGCCTTAAATCAAAAGTGGGAAAGATCGGGTGAAGAAACGAGTAAATTAATTGGTGATTCTTTTTAGAGTAATAAAACATAATAATTGAGTTATCATGATAATGTCGAAAATCTAGAGAAGTTGAGTAAATAGAGTATTACACTTGCAAGAACATGAGCAATGAGTAGCAGATGTTATTGATTAGAGTTACGAGTTAGAATAAAAGCCTAAATGTTGAATGATGATTTTTATGTATTCGACTATAAGATGTCAAATGATGAATTTTGATGTATTTGATTATACGATGTTGAATGATGAATGATGAATGATGAATGAGGAATGTTAATGTATTTGATTATAAGATGTCGAATGATGAATTTTGGTATATTGAATATAAGATTTCGGATGATGAATGTTGATGTATTTGATTATAAGATGTCGAATGATGAACTTTGATGTATTAACTATAAGATGTCGAATGATGAATGTTGATGTATTTGATCATAAGGTGTTGAAAAATATGCATTTTTTATGAATATTGATGTTGCGTGGATATCCATTATTTGATGAATATTGAGGTTGCGTTGTTTACGCTATGGTGTTGTTGAAATAGTTCACGAGAATCGAAGATGATGGACTTCAGTTTGACGATATAGGACTTCGGTGCAATGATGTAGAACTTTGGTTCACTGTTATAGAACTTTGGTCCTGTGTTGTGATTGGTACTTGATGATGGGTATAGGAGGTTTAGATGTAGATTGTTTGCATTTGTTTGATCATGCATCATGTATATCAAAGTTTAAGTTGAGACTTCAGTACGATGGTGATGAACTTCCGTCTGACGATGATGGACTTTGGTCCAGTGTTGTAGGATTGTACTACATGCATGAAAGTAGAGGAGTTGAGCATCATGTTGCATTATTGAATGAATTATCTTATTGAGCGTGGTGTTTGAATGAGTATTATAAAAATGTGTTTGTTAATCGTATGATGATATCCTGTTTCGTATTTATGACTGAATGTGTGAGATGTGTTACCCATGTTGTTATTATGCCAATGATAACTGTCAGACGTATTATCAACCCTTTGTTGTTTTTGTACGATAAAAATGTGAAATAACACAGGCGACTCTCAGAGTGAGTTTGAGGACTGATCCAACTTCTAGTAGAAGATGTTTGTTTTGATTTCATGTTGTTTCATGTTTGTCCAAACTTCGATGTTGGCTAATAATTGTAGTTACTCGTAGCTCTGATATTGTAACATTGGACGAAGATCTTCATTTGTTAATTGTCGCAACTTGAATTGGTTACTTAATTTATTAATATTCTGATTATTATCCTTTATTTGGAATAGATGTGGAATTTTGGTGTGTAATGGCCCAATGTTCTAATACTCTAAACAATTTTAAGTTTAAAAAAATGAAAAATTTCATCGAGGTTTTTAGGGTGTTACAACACACTTCATACATACTGCATAATTGCTTATTGCTTCTAGGATGACACACTCACTAATATGAAGATGGACTTACATCACAGTAGGAGTTCTCCATTCTACATTCACTACCAAGATCGATAAAAGGGATTTTTAGGTTTTTGAAGTTGGTCATCACTCAAGAGCTAATGCAAATAAGATAAAAGTGAAAGGTAAGAAGCAAATGCTTATGTGTTTTTGCAGATTCTAGAGAATGAAGAGCGGGGTGATTGAGAACAAAGATTTTGAAGCCCAAAAAATTTCAACAATGCTCATAGGAATCATAAAGAGAAGAATAAAATTGATTTTGCACCATGACGAAAGAAGTCGAAAAAGAGAAAAACTAATGTTGGGTTCTTTATTTGTAGGCAGAGAGAACGACAATATCAACGATAGAGAATCAATGAAAAATTAAAAGCCACGACCAACAGACAAGATAAAACGTCGATTCTATAATGACACTTGTGCACTCAAATTTTTTAAGTGTGTCACCTTTCTACCCTATGCGTGTAAGGATACATGGTGAGGTAAATACATTACTAATTACAAGGACAATGACTTATAGGAAAATTGTTTTAGACTAACTAAAGGCCTAATAAAACCAACCAAACTATGTGGCCCAATCCAAATAAAAACTCCATTAACTAACTAATAGTTGTACCTTCAGTTTAAAGCATCATCTTCAAGCACACCACCATTCTCTTATAAATTAATTAATTTTACTTATTAAAATAAATGTATAAACAAAAGATAAAATAACATTTTGATTAAAATGCCCTTAGTAATTTTTTAACATACATGTGTAAAAATTTAAATGATAATTTTTATTTAATATTAATTTTAAATGAAAATTAAGTAAGAAGTTAATAGTAGAAAGTTCGGTAAGAAATTATGTAGGAAATTAATGGAAGATATTGAATAAATTATACATTAAAGTAAGGATAAAATTGGAAGAGAAATAGGTTACACCAAAATACCATGTTTTGCATATATATATATATATATATATATATATATATATATATATATATATATATATATATATATATATATATATATATATATATATATATATATATATATATATATATATATATATATATATATATATATATATATATATATATATATATATATATATATATATATATATATATATATATATATATATATATATATATATATATTAAATTAAAAATTAAATGAATTAAATAAAAAAAAATACACGAACCACATGCACTCATTTAATTCAACTAACATGTACAATTGAACTACCCCACCAATTCAATTAAATAAAATTTGAATAATAGTATATAGTGTTAAATAGAATATTTTGCAAATGATAGACTAGTGGCTATTTTAAATAGATTTTTCTATTAATTTCAATAATATTTTTTCTAGTCAAATTTGCTTATAATGATTATAATAATAATAAGAGGATATAATAATGTTTATAATAGTGAATGGAATGTATAGTGATTTTTCAATATGACTCATTTTCAGCATGTAGCCCTCAACTCTTAAGTGAAAGGTTTATTTATTTATTTGTTAAATGGTTTGATGGTTGAAATTTATATTTTAAAGATCAATAAATAGAATGTCGTGGATTCTAATATCTTTTATATGTATAATTATTAATTGAGTTGACTTAATAAAATATTTGTATTTATTTATTTTGCGTCTAAACAAACAGTTATGTATTCGTCTGTTTGTTTTTTATAATACTTACGTGTATAAAATATAAATCGTATTATTATATTTATTAAATTTTAATTTTATTGATTTTCATTTATAAAATATTAGTAATAGATAATAAACATTCCTATAACCATTTTTTATTAAAAGAAAAATTGAAAAAAAATATATTTAAAAAAAGAATTAACTCAAAATAATGTTTTGTCATTATATATAGGTAAAGATTAACAAGTTATTTAATTAAACCTCGTTGAAGAAATGAAAAAATAAAAAATAAAAAAGAGAGAGAAAAAATTGCAGCAGGGTAAAAGCGGTCCCCTAGCAAGTTAGGGGCGGAAACAAACAATGGAGGAAAGAACATCCACGGCAACAGAGACAACAAACGACGATGTTTGGTCCAAAGACACAGTCCCCAAAGTCTTGAAACTCGTTTCTTCCTCCACTTCTTCTCTCACTCTCACTCACACCGACCTCGTTTCTCTCCTCCTCGTCAGTCCCTTCCTCTATCGTACCCTTCTCTCTTCTCAAACCCTCTGGCAAGTAAGTCTTCAACACCAATCTTCACCTTTCCTTTCCCCTTCATTCTTCTATTACTAATTTTTCTCTTCTTATTAGTTACTCAATTTCCGTGAGTTGAATAATGCCGGAAATCGCCTTATAGCTGCTCTTTCTCTGGTACGTTAATTATCAATTTTCATTTTCATTCAATTTAGATGAAATTTTATACTTCTGATTAATACTGTTTTGCTATGGAATTTGATTGTTTATTCTTGTAGCCTAGATACAGCCATGTAAAAGAGATTAACCTTGAGTTTGCAAGAGACATTGAAGACACACATCTCATGCTTATTAAACAAAAGGTAACGATAGTTGAAAATGTTTGCACAATGATGTAGAAATGTAGAATATAGATTGAATGTGATTTTCTGACTAGATTACTTTAAGCATTTCTAGTGTTTTGATTCTCTTCAAAGCTTGGAGTCTTTAAATCTCAACGTCTGTCAGAAAATATCGGATACGGGAATTGAAGCCATAACCAGTTGTTGTCCTCGGCTAAAAAACTTTTCCATCTACTGGAATGTGAGGTGCGTTAAGTTTTTTTCTTAACGCGCAATGTTGGATTTAGCTGTTGAGAATATTGGTTTGGATTTAATTTAGGAGTGTTCTTTCAGGGTAACTGATAGTGGACTGAAGCATATAGTGAGGAACTGCAAACACATAGTTGATTTGAATATAAGTGGCTGTAAGGTACATGATGATACCTTGGAGTTGTGATTTTATATAACATTACTATTGAATGTTTATTTATACAGTTTTGTTATTTATAAAGAAATGCATGCGTACAGTGCATGTGTGTGTGCTCGTGTGTCTGAGTGTGTACGTGCGCGCTATTCAACTAAAATCAATTTTGAATGTCAAGTTCGTGACTGTGAATTATATTGTATGCACTAGAGTTCTGAATCATCTTGTTAGAAAAAGATGGTGTTTTTTTATATTTTAAATTTGGCACTTGTATCTTTTGAAATAAGTGATTTGATATGATAATTGCAGAATATTTCAGATCGAGGTGTACAATTTGTTGCTGACAATTACCCAAAACTAGAGTCGCTAAACTTGACAAGGTATAGATTGTAAATATCATGACTCAAATGATGAGTTATATGCTTTTTTTTACCCTTTTACATTAGCTGTCTGAAATTGTTTGTGTTTAGATATTTTGAGATTATGTTATAGATTTAGATGATTAGATGCTGATCTTAACCCCTAATCAAAGGATTTGATTGTTCATATTGATTAGTATAAAGTATATTTGAGGTATTCGGTATATAAGTTATCTCCATTATATGTTGCTCAACATCTACTCTTCTATTCAATATGGCACTTCTAACTCACACTTGACATATCAAGTATCAACATTCTCTCCCTCAACTGTGAGACTCTTCGCATCTTTGATACAATGCTGGGAACCACTTCCGCTCTCCCAGACCTCCACCGAGTCAAACCAGATTCTGATACCTCTGTTAGAACTTCAGGGGAAGCCTAAAACACTCTGGTAGATTATCAAATTGGACTAATGAGCAACCATACAAGTGAGGTTGGAACTAACTAGATGCATATGATATGCACCAACTTGACAGGGAGTGTTGAGATATTTGAAATTATATTATAGATTTAGATTTGATTTGATGTTGATCACCGATCGGTCAAGGGATTTGACTATACATATTGAGTCGTATAAGTAAATACATTGAGAGTTAATCTAGCAAGTCATTCAAATTGATTCTAGTCCCTTTTCAAGAGTTCGATTGATATGCTCTTTTTGATGACTAGTATAAAGGAGTGGATCAATTATATTGTTTCTATTTTTTTCCCTAGTTCTATGTAAGATGCAAATATATTGTTTCAATTTTCTATTTCTTCTGGGTTCGTAACGTGTATATATATATCTCATAATTTGACACCTAGGTGTGTCAAGTTAACCGACGAGGGGCTGAAGCAGTTGTTGCAGAAATGCCTATCCCTTCAAAGTTTGAATCTCTATGCAGTGTCTAGGTAGGAATTGAAACTCATCCTATTGAAGTTCAATTTGTCTTTACCTGAAAATTCACCGCATTACTCGTATTCAGTTTCACAGACGAAGCTTACAGGAAAATTGGCCTTCTGACACGTCTCACGTTTTTGGATCTCTGCGGTGCCCAGGTAAAAATCTGTGGTTGTTGAAGATTTCTCCACACAACCCTATCTAACGCAAACTGCTAATAGAAATAAGTTTGGCTCGCAGAATCTCTCCGATGAAGGACTTCAATGTATTTCGAAATGCAAGAACCTTGTATCCCTCAATCTGACTTGGTAAATTTTTTATCAAATATCAACTTGAATATCCGTCTATCTCATTTTATGAAAATAATCGAGCTGTATCTGATTTTACGTGATAGGTGCATACGTGTGACAGACGAAGGGGTTATAGGCATTGCAAAGAGTTGCATCTCTCTTGAATTTCTAAGGTATTATGATATTTTGAGAAGTTTATAGCACTTGGATAATTGTTATCCTAGAATCATTTTTGGCTTGATGTATTGGATGGTCATATTTGTAGCTTATTCGGAATAGTTGGCGTGACCGATAAATGTCTCGAGGCACTCTCAAAGTCATGTTCCAACAGCATTACGACTCTTGATGTGAACGGATGTATTGGCATTAAGGTACATTCCAATTTCAAAGAAGCTCTATACTACTTTAACTGAAACATTGTCGTCTAACAATTCGAGGTTTTGTTCTTGCAGAAACGAAGCCGCGCAGAGTTGCTTCAGTTGTTTCCATATTTGAAATGCTTTAAAGTGCATAGTTAGTATGTGGTTAGCGAAACTTTTGGTAACAAAAATATTCTATTTTTTCGACCGGAGCAAAATAATCTCCGAAATGTTATTTTAAGTTATGTAACAGTGTGTCCAACAACACGTGAACTTACATTTAACTATACTTTTTTTCTTCAAATTACTGTGATAATAGATATTTATTTGTGGAGTAAATAGAACCGTTCTCATTAGCTAAACCATTTAAAAATGAATACTACCCATTAAAGAGTCACAGAAGTATTTTGAAACTATTAAAAGTGAGATGATTTCACCACTTCTCAGCTTAATAAGAAAAAGCTTGATTATTGTTTTTGACATTAGAATTTATTTTATACCAACTATTAATAGTTAATGCATATAAATTTTCTGTATTAGCATTCAATAATCAATACAAGGGTATGTTTGGCGCCGTTGTAAATTTTTACATTTTTATCTTAAAAATTAACTTTTAAATTAGAACTTTTTGAAAAATTTAGATTTAAATTTGTTTTTCTTTTTCATTTTTTGGATACAGTTTTTAACTAAAATAAAAAATTTAGGGGTTGTTTGAATGAGTTTTTGTTTTTAATTTTTATAAATTAATTTTAAAAAATTGTTTTGAAGAAAAAATTAAAATAAAATATATTTGATAATCTTAATTTAAAAAGTTATTTTAAAGTTATACAATATTACAAATTTGTGATTAGTTAAAAATGTATGATTTTTTTTTACTCTTAATTTCCAAAATTAAAAATTAAAAAACCAAAACATCTAAAACATATTTTAATTATTTGGTTTTTTTTCAAATAAGTTTTATTATTTTTAAAATTTAAAAACTCCAAGGTTTTATAAATCTAAATCAAACAATCCTTACTAATTGATTTTTAATTTCTTGTTTCTATTTTGTACACTTGTTGCATCACATTTCCGTGGTCTTCTTTTATCTCTCCCAATTTCCAGGGTGAAAATAGGTTGGCTTGAGCTAGACTTTGTCAAGCTTAACTTTGACCTGTTCAAAAAATTGAAGTTTAAGTCTGACCTATAGTTTGTCATAGACTTATTTTTAAGTCTGAGATTAACCTTTTCGAAAGTCTGATTAACCGGTTAACCTACATAAAAGTCTATTTATTTTAGATAAATATAAATAAGAAATTCAAATAATGTTTAAATAGACTAACAAACTAAAAGATCAATGAGACTAAAAGTTTATTTGCATTGACTTATTATAACTTACATATTAGCACAAGTTTTGCTAGACTATTTGTTTAAGAGAACTTATGAAAACAACTTTTGGCATTGTTCATAAAGTGTTTTTATCTTATTCATAAAGTGTTTTTATCTTATTTTCATAAATTCTTCAAGATAACCAAGTTTTATTTATGTATTTTAATTCAAAGTGGAAAACATAACATAATGACAATAAAATATTACTCATATTTATTTAAATAAGTCGGCCTGCGCAACACCCATATATCATACATGCCTAGAATTACATTATACATAGTTGTAATGTTAGTACTGAAATACATAAGTGCCTAATGACAACACTGTACATATTACATGCCCAAAATGTAACTACAACAATGACACAATATATACAAGGGTGCCCAAAATAAAACTAGGAACTAGATCATTGTAGAATGATCTAAAAAATATCTACACAGTAGAAAAGTTCATCCAAAACATTGAACAAGTAAGGGCACCAAACTATCTTGTCCTTACCCTTCACCTGTTTAGAACTACCTAAAAAATAATCAACAATATGGGGTGAGATAATAATCCCAGTGGGTTCCCTATCTTATGGGTCCACTCGCCTCTACAAGGTTCTAATCAAAATCTAACTTAAGTCATAGAGGGGAAAGACTTATGTTCACAAAACTTGAAATGTATGGAAACATGCCTCTTGAGTTCATCAACTCAAACAATCACTAATTAGAAACCATACCAGGGTATTTTTCCCCGACTAACCCTACGTCTAGGATTATCGACACGGGTCACGAATCCTTGTATCATACTTTGACTTTCTTGAACACTTCAAATTCTTCTATGGGACTCTAACCCATTTGCTTGCACTATGAGACTCTAACCCATTTGGTTGCACTATGGGGCTCTAACCCATTTGGTTAAACATATGAGACTCTAACTCATTTGGTTGATATGAAGTATCAGTGCATTCATCCAGATCTTACTTTATATAAGTATCATGATTTGGGATGACACAATCAAGGGTTGTTTCTGACTACGTTATTAGATATAACACAATGTGATTGTATTCTATAATCACAAGGCAATAACATTCACCTTCACATTTACAACAATAACACATGTTCCATACAATGCCTAGCATCCTAGTTACACAACTACTTGTCCATGATTCACACCTATGTATCATTGTGTACAAGCATTGTCATCTAAGTCATTCACCATACCCTAATTATCTTTCTAATTCATTCAATTACTCTTGCTTCTAAGGTTTCCTCACAAATCATTATGAATTTCCAATCATATTATCACGTATAGACAAGAAAGCAAATCATACACAGAAAAATATGCACAACCAACACAACCACAATTCATAGCATATATCATAATGTGGTTCATAAACATGCTTAACCAATTCATGACTAATACCCCAAACAAGAATCATGGCACGAACACGATTTCTCTTCACCCATATAACATACATAATAGTATATCATCACTATCCTATTCATGATTGGTATATATACATGTTTATATTCCAATATCTTATAGAGCATTGAAAGGGATTTCTAATGCTTCAAGTCTCGTAGAAATACGGTTCATGGTTTTCGAGTTATGGTGAAAACAAGGACCAAACAATTTTTCTGCGTGATGTCATGCTAGCCCGACGAGCTAGGGGCAAACTCTGGCGAGACAAGACAATGGAAAAATTCCCCATGCTCGCCTGGAGAAAACCCAACGAGAACAGCTCGCCTGGGGCTCACTCGACGAAGTTGACAGGACCCATAAAGTGTAGAAGCGTGTTTGGATGGTAAAAATGGTCTTACACATCAATACATATGATCATACTACACTCTATACCTAAATTCTTCCTCTGTAACCTTTATTTCTCATTCCTTGCATAATATTGTTTCTTTTCTAACAACTATGGTACTTAATTTCTATTTACCCAAGGCATGGTTCTTCAACAACATGGATACATACTCATAACAACAACCATATTCAACATTGAATCATAATAATCATGAAGAACATGGAGAAATATTTGTTCATAGCAATTATCATAATCAAGAGAAAGCATTCATCATGTTATCATGGATTTCTCCTAACTATCCTATGATTCAAAAAGAAAATTTAATTTCTAGAAATCATAAGGTGACTATCTAGAACCCACCTTGAAATTATGAATAAATTTCTCTTTCAAGATGATGGGATGAAATGAAGATGGTGATTCCAAGCCTTGATTCTCCAAGTTTTCCTCTTTTTTCCTTTCCCCACAAGTTCCTCTTCTTTTACCTCTCCCGCAAGCTTGTTTTTTCTTCTTTTTTCTTAGTATCCTCTACTAATGATACTGATGCATATAAAAGTGATTTCATCACATGTGGTTGGAAAGTGGCTAAGTAGGAATATGTGGTCACATGTTGGTTAGTGAAAAAATATGTGGATAGAAATGAGTATAGGTAGTAAAAAAATATCTTAAGTGCTACCAACTTATTTATTTGTTTTACTAGAGCAATTGACCCTAATAGTGTTATCAAAATGTCCAAATTAATAAAAGGTCGGTTCTAAATAATAATAATTAATCAATCTAAGTTCACTAGTTCTAACTGATAACTTTCAGAGTACATAGAAACTCAGTTGATCTCAATTGATATGAATTTGCATATTTAAGGAAACACGGGGTATTACAGCCTGATAGGCTTAAAAGGCTTTTTTATGGCCTGATGCATATCCTTTTTTAACTAAATAGGCTTATAAAAAGTCTAGGCCTTTTCTATTTTAAAAAAGTCTAATCTGGCATGAGCCTATGTAGGATAGGTCGTAGGTCCCTATAAAGCGGCCTGGCCTATTTCCACCTCTACACCTTACATTGATTTCTTGTGATTTATATAAGATATGCTTTTTTAGCATTAGGATATTTAAAAGGAAATTTTCGTTATACCCGTGTATTTTTTTTATAAAATGTATCAAAATTTAAATTGTTCTTTCTTAAAGTTATTTTTCAAATGTATTTATATTTCTCAATTGGTTTTACTTTTTTGAAATGTGAAATGAAGGATAATATGAGTAGGAACGTCATCTTTCTGGAAGTTAAATTTTAGAGTCCAAGTAACATTTTATATTAGGATGGTGTTTACTACACCACATGTAGTGATCGCAAACCTAATAGAAATTCCAAATTGTCATTCGTATTGTTTGGATTTCAAAATTTGAACGCCCATATTATTAACCACATCACTTCATCAGCACTCCCATATGTGTTTCCTTATAATGGGGTGAGTTAGGATATCATAATCTAGACAAACTAGTGGTCAATTTTGTCACTCATTAATATGAGTTTATTTCAGAACACATGGGCATGTCCAAATTTTAAAATGGCATAGTGGAATCTCCTTCTGCATCTAGTATAATGTAATAATGTAACACTCTATAAAATTGTTCTGGACTGGGAACACTCCTCGTCGGGGAGGGCCCAATAAAGGAAATCTATCATCTCACACGGAGAACACTCCTCACATGTTTTCCCCACGGTTTCCACGTGCTCCTTACGCGGGGATACGTCATCAGCCAGCTACCAGCGTCCGAAAGAACAGGTCCTCCACCTTTCGAAGTTCACGGAGGCACATTATAAATACCCTCTTCCACAAGAGGGTCATGTATTCTAACTCTTCTATGTACTTGCTTTCTCTCTTGCTGAAACTTACTTTAGCATCGGAGTGCCTTGCATTTACACCCCCTACTCTTCTCCACCACTGGTGAACTAGGAGCTCACGACGTGTTGCTGGCTATTGATCCCCTTTTTGATCTGGTAA